TGCCGGCCGGGACGCCGCGCCCTGACGCTGTGAGCTCGGTCAGGCTGAAGCTCCCCCAGCTGACACATGCTGATTAAGAGACGTTTGCATTATGTGTATTCCGTGTCACTCGTGTTTATGTCTTGCTTGCGGAAGTAATTTTTATTGCCACAGCTGTTTTGTACAATATCTATAATTTTAATGTTTGTAAATTAATCGTTTAATATATTAACATACTTACTCCGTTCTGTATGTTAAGTGCTGGCTTGGGAGGGGCCTGGGCAGCACCCCGAACGCCCACGCGCCCGGCTGGGCTTGGAGTTCACCGCCCCGGGAGAGGCTGGCTGTGGCCCGTGCCCCCTCCGGGCCTTCTGTTGACGCTGACCGAGGAAGGCCGGGCTCCTCCGAAGTTAGCCCATCCCCACCTTTTCCCTTCTCCAAGATAATAAATAATCAGTTACCGACCGTAAAGACCATGGTCTCTTCCTCCTTCTTTAAAAATAAAGTTTGTAGCTGGGAGTGAAGCCTGGAGCTCTTAGGGATTGGCAGGACCCTGTCTCAGAATATAAAGGCTGGGGCTGCAGCCCAGGGAGAAGGCTCTGGGTTCCTCCCTAGTGCTGCCGGGAAGAGGAGGTGTTTCTCTGTTTACACCGACAAAGTCTAAGTCTGAGATGGTGGTGGAAAGTGAGTGAGCAGTCTCTAAACTTGAGGAAGTTATTCCTGGACATTAAGGAATTTTTTAAAAATCTAGGGCTTCACTATGCAGTTCAGGCTGGTCTTGAACTCACTTTGTAGCCTAGGCTGGCCTTGAACTTGTAGCGATCCTCCTGCCTCAGCCTCCTGAGTGCTGGGATTACAGGCATTCGCCACTACACCCAGCCTTTGAAACACTATTTTGGGGGAGGAATAGGAATCAGCTCAGGACATTGCACTTGCCTGGCAGCATCCCTGGGAAGGAACCCTCATGAACTCAAACTGCCGGGCAGGTCTTCTCAGTGCTCTTGTGTGTCTGATACTCTGCGGACTAAAATCTCATTCCCAGCCAGACGTCGTGTCACGTGCTTGCAGTCCCAGCTTGCGGGCGGCAGAGGCAGACAGATCACCATGAATTTGAGGCCACCTTGGGCTACATAGTGAGTTAAGCCCAGCCTAAACTACATAGCAAGACCCTGTCTCAAAACCAAACAAACAAAAACATGAGAAAAAAATTTCTCAAAGTGTGTAAGAATGTGCAGTGCTTAAACACTTTTACTGCTTGTTAATGCCTTGAGTATAGAAAGTGTTTTCAGGCTCGTAAACTGCGCCAGGAGGTGACTCGGCCCGTGGCGTGGCGTAGGTCGTGGCTGTCGGTGTCGCAGGCTCTCAGCGCTGCTTGCAGGTCACGAGGATGTACTGGGTCCAAGCTCCAAGCCCACAGGACGCCAGGCAGTGGAGACTGAGTTCTGTACCCCGGAGGCTGCGCGAAGGTTGGGATCCCGTCCCGCCAGGCGGCACGCAGCTCCATCTTCAGAGTCCGTGTGCGTGTGACACACGGGGCTGTCACCCGTGCTTGGCCTGAGTACCTTGCCCGCTGATCTCTGGGCCGCCCTGGTGCCTGCCCAGCGCTTGCCTGCCTGGTCAGTTCCTGTGTGTGCCCGAGTGAGGGATGGTGGCCGCGCCCACGTGCGTGTGGGTGTCGTGTCCTGGCCCGTGTCTCCGGGATGCAGCCGGAAACAAAGCAGGTTACAGATCGACTCACTACTTTCATCATGTCTCCAGATGTCCTGTGCTAACATTAAAAGTGTGTCCAGAGGAACGAAAGAGAAACCTGTTCTACCTCGTTGTTTTTGGAGGGGGAGGATGTTTTGCTGATCCATTAGCAAACTGTTCCATTAAGACAGTTACCCCTCCTTGTGGCTGTTACACAGAATAATGCAGATTGATAATTCTAGATGTTTTTCATAAAATTAGTATTCTTTTTTGGTGCTGGTGAGTGAACCCAGGGAGTGCTGAGCTACGGTCCTGGTTTTTTTTTTTTCCTTCTGCCTCAGCCTTCCCAGTAGCTAGGATTATAGGCTTGTGCCGCCACACCCAGCTCAAAGTTCTGTTTTGTTTATTGCGGTTGCAAGCATCTGTTGTCTGTGTCTCAGGTGTTGGGGTCCTTATTAGGGGCCCCCTGAATTCTGGAGCTTACTAATTCCTTGCTATTTCCCTGCATTTGGGCTCCATCCTGAAGTCACTTGTTTGAATTTTTGTGACATTTTCGGGTCATCCGTGGGAGATCCTCCCCTCGGGTTCCTGAGCTGTCTGTCATCCCTCCACTTTCCGTAACCTCCTTGGAGAGTTCTCTGTAGGTAGCATCCCCTTAGTTCTTTAGCCCTTCCTGAACTCAAACCATGTTAGCAAGTGGTGTTCAAAAACCACACTTTTATTTTATTTATTTATTTATTTGTCTTTTTGAGACAGGGTCTCACTATGCAGTTCACGCTGGCCTGGAGCTCACTTTGTAGCCCAGGCTGGTCTTGAACTTGCAATGATCCTCCTGCCTCAGCCTCCCGAGTGCTGGGATTACAGCCCTGGGCCACCACGCCCGGCTGAAAAAAACCAGAAATTTAGATGGAAGAGTCAGATGACCCTGGAGAAAGTCCTTTCCTGCGCAGAGCCCCTGCACGCGCACTTCAGTCTGTTGCTTCCTCTGCGCCTTTTCCTTCCTGGCCACAGCCCTGACACATTCAGTAATTCAGTAACAGTACCGAGCAGCACCTTGAGCGGCTTCTCACTGTCTCCGGGAACTCAGCTGGCCTGGTGCGGCCGGAAGCCTGGGTCGGTGGAGATGGGAGGCAGGCAGCGGGGCCCTGGGCACCTCTGCCCCTGTGCCACCGGCCCGGTGTGTCCGTGTGTGGGTGGGAGTGACCATGCAGCCTCGGGCACGGCTTCCTCCAGGATGTGACGGAGATGCAGCGACTGCTCCCCGGCGCTGGGACACTCCGGCAGGCCCACTGAACGGCAGGGGCCACGAGCTGCCCGAGGAGCTGACCCCCACGCAGCTGGGTGTGGTGAGCACCGACATCACCGCGTGTGCCTCTGGGTGACGTTTCAGTGCGGGCTGGAAGGTGGTACAGCGCACGGGGTTCCGTGGGAGCTCAGCGTGCCCTGCGTGTTGAGTGATCCATTAGCAAACTGTTCCATTAAGAGTTACTCCTCCTTGTGGCTGTGAATGGAATACGCCTGCCCTGCCAATCCCGGCTTTCTGCAGGGAGAGGGAGGAGGGGCTGCCTCGCTGCCCCCAGCCTTGGCCTCGGCCCTGACCCCGCCCAGCGTCCCCTGCAGTGTCCCCAGCAGCCGTGCTGCTCAGCACACCCTGGACAGGGTTCGGAAGGCCTCGCTGTGGGGGAATCGGCCGCGTCCCAGTGGGTGCTTGTTCAGCGGGCTCGGCCTTACGGCCACACGCGGAGCCGGGCATCAGGATCAGAGGCCGGAACAGGGCAGCTGCGGTGCTCATGCAGGGTGGGGTGGGACCCGGGCTGGGCAGAGCGGGGCGCTGGGATCCCGGGCCCAGCCCAGGGCAAGGGCAGAGTAGCCGGCAGGTGCGGTCTGCACAGGGAAAGACGCGGCTGTGTGGGCACCGCATGGTACCCATGCCCGGCTTCGGGGACACCAGGAGGCGGAGACTCGGGTCAAGCAGGGCCAGACCTGCGGGGCCGTGCATCCTCTGTGTACCCCAAGTCCCTGTGCCCGTCTGTGCCCCCGCCAGACTCAGGGCCTGGCTGTGCTGGAGCCCTGGGCTGTCGCCTCCACACCTTCGCCTCCTTCCTCCCTGTGCTGTAGGAACGCCCTGCCACACCCGGTCGTCAGCAGTGACTTCCGGCGACGGGACACACAGGAGCGGAAGTGGGGAGCTGTGCCCCCAGAGAAGGCCCCCCAAGGCCCTCGTCCCCTCCTGGTCCCTTCTGGGCGGAAGAGCGACCCGTCCCCCTCCTGCAGTGCACCCTGGGGTTGAGCGTGGGCCCCCCTGCAAGGGAGCCCGGTCCTGGCTCGCGGAGGACCTGGTCCCCGCTGTCCCTGAGTCTGCCTGGTCCTCAAGGGTGAGGCGGGTGGGACTCTCCTTTCCCCAAAGGGCCTGTGTTCCGGGCCATGCTGCGCCCTGGCTGCCTCTCACCTCTGTTTTTGTTAAAGGTGTTCTCGGGGGTCTAATGCACCTGCAGCTGGAGCATCTCGACTTGTAACCCTGGTCCTGCCCTAAACGCCCAGCGCCCGGCAGCCTTCTGCGTCCTGCCCTTTCAGGGCTTTCCCCCACCCCGGACATTTGGCCATGCCCTCTGCGAATTCTGCGAGGGCCGCAGTGCCGGCTGCCCGACAGCTGCCTTCGGCACGTCTGGTGCCGCAGCCTCGCCTGCCGGGCATCCTTCATGTCCTGTCCGCCTCGGCCCTGGCCAGCGAGGGGGCCCTGGCGGGCGTGGCGTGTGCCGAGTGTGCCGCTGCCGCACGCTGCCCGTCTGGCGCGGCTCCCAGGCCTCTGCGTGCAGGCCCGGCTGTGGTGCTTGCAGCCGCTGTGTGACATCAGCTTTTTAATTAGACGAGGTCTTAAATATTTAGATAAAATATTGTCCTATACAATCTTCTGCATTTCTGTTTTTAATTTTAATTTTGGGGCTATGCCAGAGATCAGACCCGGGGCCTCGTGTCTGTCAGATGGGTTCTGTGTTCCTAAGCTACACTCTAGCCTTGTTTTTGTTGACATGAGATTTTTTTTTTTTTGAGACAGTGTCTCACTACATTCTAACTGGCCTAAAGTGTCTAGCAATGCTCCTGCCTCAGCCTCCTGAGTGCCGGGATGACAGGCATGCCCCTGCACATGGCAGAGTTTTTTTTAAAAATTTTTTCAAATGTCTTTTATTCAATCAGAAATTCACTGAAGTTATCCTGAACCACGGCAGAGAGTTTTGGTTCAGTGCTTTTGGTCCGAGTGTGGTGCCAGGCCTTACGCTTCTCTCTAACCCTGGACATTTCCTTGGTGACGCTGGGTCTGGCCCTTGCCGGAAGACTGCTGCTGGCGCTGTTTTCGTTCTTCTCTTCTTCTGGCTCCTCTGTCCCCTGGGCTGGTCCTCGAGGCTTCTTGGTATGATGTCCCTGGGCAGGTGTCCTGTCCTTCCTTTACACCTGCCAGCCTGGCGCTGTCCCTTTGCCACGGTCCATGACCATGCTGGACAGGGTGGCTCTGGCCCCTGCTGCCGGCTGTGCTGGGTGGACAGTGGAGTGCGGGTCTATCGCTGTCCCCCCAGGTGGACACCACAGGGTCCATAGCGGCTGGACAAGGGGTAGACAGTGCCTCTCTCTTCTGCATCCGCTGTTTTCTGCCTTGAGCTGACCCTGGGCCGTGTCTGCAATCTCCTGAGTTTGATGACTTTGAGCTGAGCTGTGGCCAGGGCAGGGATGGCAGGGTGGGGACTTCCTCCCTCCCCCGCTTGGCCTGGGGCCGGGGCTCCCGGGCA